TCTGCGGCTGTGTAGTAATTCACCCACGCAATTTGGCCTATTTTCAGTACCTCCGTCGCGCGCGCTGAGGATTTAGTGCTTGGTGAGTCTTCTGCGCCAGCTTGGTTAGTGTATATTATTTTGCGCTACAGAAAGCCTACAAATCATCTCTGGACTCGAAAGAATTGACTCCAGGAACGGAGAGGCCACTGAATGGGAATAGATTCATCCCTGGGCCCGGGACAGGCCCCAGCAGAGTCTGCTCAGACAGCTGTGACGACATGCCTGGGCCGGAGCGTGGTCATTGGAACTTGACATCCTTTGCATCGCTACTGGTACCGGCTGCAGCGACAAGATGATTTGCATCACAAGATGTCACAGCTTTGGGGTCATCTGAATTCTGACATCAGTCAACTCTGTACATTGAGGTAAGATTACCTAATAAGCCCGGGGCGCAAAACCTGAGAGGTCATAGAAGACAACTTGAAAAGAATCAGCTGACCTATTAGGTTGGAGGTGTGGCTACGATACAGCATAGCAATAGGCACATAGGGCTACCATTACAGCAGTCGTTAACCAACAGCTATCAATACACGACCATCTTATGCATCTGGTTCCCTGACCTAAGTATAGAATTCAACGTCAGAATTTTTGGCTGTTGGAACCAGATTACCATGTACATGTAACCAACCAAATGGTTTCTCGGACTTCATTTCGGAAAGAATGTTGCAACCTGACGCTACTTCAGCGGTTGTGTACAAAGTTATGGAGAGTGAAGGAAATTTTTTAATTTTTCCTAACAAAATTGGAAATATTTTTCAGTCCCAGATTTAAGTCTTATCATCATTTTTGCACTTTGCACTGCATTGGCACCTGGCAATAGCCAGTTAACCATGTCCCAATGTTAAAAAGGCGTGTTGGGTCCAAGTTCCCTGGACTAGTCACTGCCCAGCTGCTAGTTGGACGGTGACTTTGCAATACAGTAACGATATAGCTGTCGAATGCAACTTGAGTCCCCTATGCAAGTTTAAACTTGCGCGCGCAATTTGTAGCAAGAAAATTAATGCGAGCGCAAGTTTAAACTTGCGTGCACGCAGGTTTAAACTTGCGCGCGCAGGTTTAAACTTGCACGGGGGAATCAAATTGCGCTCAACCATATAGCTATATAGCAATAGCACGTAGCAGTTAACAATCGGGTTACAAATACAGCTGCTGTGTATAAGTTGTAACAGCCACCTTGGTCGGACATGCCTAGCTGTCCAGTGATTTCAGTCATTTGATCTGGCGATCTTCCCACATGCAGAAATTTTCCATGGCATGTCATTAAAATGAAATCACTAAACATCAGCATTTTGGGCCGAGTTTATAACACCAAAAAATGGCAAAAATTAGTTGACTAGTAGTAGTACGAATTAAGCCCCGGTACTGGTCATGGTGGTAGTACGAACGTTTGTTTACAAATCGACAAAAACCGTGTTTGGCGCCCTCAATATTGAGGGCGCCAAACACGTTTCACTGCTTGAGTCTCATGCAATGCGAGGGCGACATACACTCCGGCCGGTGTGCTTGACATGCCAATTTTCTTTCAAAAGAGGGCGCGCTACACAAATAGTGGTCGCCACCACAAAAAAATAAAATAAATAAATAAATAAATAAATAAATAAATAAATAAAATTTTCGCCACGGAGAAAAAACCTGTGTCTACAAAAACAGTACATTCGTTTCAGGACTAGAATATAATAACTCCAGAAACACCTGTTGTATCTAATTATGTCAAATTATTGCTTGAAATTATATTTTATATTTTTCTTGAACATAAAGGGAAATATACTTTTCTTGAATATCAAAGGAATAACCCAAAAATAACAATTAATAATATAATATCTAAAACAATGCAGTGCTTTAAATGTGATTTTGCGCTATATATATATTTTTATTAACTTTCTCGGTCCATCGATTTTCTTGATATAGGCAATAATCAATAAATCAAATTCATACAAAAGACAGGCTTTTTATATTGGCCCGGACGCAACTAGTGTTCTTGAAGAAAGTTTGCCGCAAGCGACCAACCTTGTTTTGCTGTAGAGGGAAACGCAGATATGGCATGTTTTTTTCACACTCACCCCCCTTGGCTCCTGGAATGCGCAAGTGCTTTAGAGTGATACGCAGTAATGGCATGTTTTCAAGCCCCTTGGCTCGTATGCGCTAATGCTATCCGGTGATAAGCAGTAATGGCATGTTTTTAAGCCCCTTGGCTCGTATGCGCTAATGCTATCGAGTGATACGCAGTAATGGCATGTTTTCAAGCCCCTTGGCTCGTATGCGCTAATGCTACCGAGTGATACGCAGTAATGACATGTTTTTCAAGCCCCTTGGCTTGTATGCGCTAGTGCTATCGAGTGATACGCAGTAATGGCATGTTTTTCAAGCCCCTTGGCTCGTATGCGCTAATGCTATTGAGTGATACGCAGTAATGGCATGTTTTGTAAGCCCCTTGGCTTGTATGCGCTATTGCTATCGAGTGATACGCAGTAATGGCATGTTTTTCAAGCCCCTTGGCTCGTATGCGCTAGTGCTTTCGAGTGACACACCGTAATGGCATGTTTTCTACGCCCTATGCTTGTATGCGCTAATGCTATCGAGTGATACGCAGTAATGGCATGTTTTCAAGCCCCTTGGCTTGTATGCGCTAATGCTATCGAGTGATACGCAGTAATGGCATGTTTTTTAAGCCCCTTGGCTCGTATGCGTTAGTGCTACCGAGTGATACGCAGTATTGGCATGTTTTTTAAGCCCCTTGGCTCGTATGCGCTAATGCTATCGAGTGATACGCAGTAATGGCATGTTTTCAAGCCCCCTTGGCTTGTATGCGCTAATGCTATCGAGTGATACGCAGTAATGGCATGTTTTTTAAGCCCCTTGGCTCGTATGCGTTAGTGCTATCGAGTGATACGCAGTAATGGCATGTTTTTTAAGCCCCTTGGCTCGTATGCGCTATTGCTATCCGGTGATACGCAGTAATGGCATGTTTTTTAAGCCCCTTGGCTCGTATGCGCTAATGCTATCGAGTGATACGCAGTAATGGCATGTTTTTCAAGCCCCTTGGCTTGTATGCGCTAGCGCTTTCGAGTGACACACCGTAATGGCATGTTTTCTACGCCCCTATGCTTGTATGCGATAATGCTATCGAGTGATACGCAGTAATGGCATGTTTTTCAAGCCCCTTGGCTCGTATGCGCTAATGCTACCGAGTGATACGCAGTAATGGCATGTTTTGTAAGCCCCTTGGCTTGTATGCACTAATGCTATCGAGTGATACGCAGTAATGGCATGTTTTATACGCCCCTTGGCTCGTATTCACTGGTGCTACCGAGTGATACGCAGTAATGGCATGTTTTATACGCCCCTAGGCTCGTATGCGCTAATGCTATCGAGTGATACGCAGTAATGGCATGTTTTGTAAGCCCCTTGGCTCGTATGCGCTAGTGATATCGAGTGATACGCAGTAATGGCATGTTTTTCAAGCCCCTTGGCTCGTATGCGCTTATGCCACCGAGTGACATGCAGTAATGGCATGTTTTCAACGCCCCTTGGCTTGTATGCGCTAATGCTATCGAGTGATACGCCGTAATGGCATGTTTTTCAAGCCCCTTGGCTCGTATGCGTTAGTGCTACCGAGTGATACGCAGTATTGGCATGTTTTTTTTAGCCCCTTGGCCCATATGCGTGAGTGCTACCGAGTGATACGCAGTAATGGCATGTTTTGTAAGCCCCTTGGCTTGTATGCACTAATGCTATCGAGTGATACGCAGTAATGGCATGTTTTTCAAGCCCCTTGGCTCGTATGCGCTTATGCCACCGAGTGACATGCAGTAATGGCATGTTTTCAACGCCCCTTGGCTTGTATGTGCTAATGTCATCGAGTGATACGCAGTAATGGTAGTTTTCCAAGCCCTTTGGCTACCGAGTGATACGCATAATGGCATGTTTTCTACGCCCCTTGGCTCGTATGTGCTAATGCTATAAGCAGTAATGGCATTATATTGTCTACACCCCTAAACTCAGATAGGGCATGTTGTAATTTTTTGACCCACTTTGGGGGTACCAAAATTGTTTTTGCCCCCCCCCTTGTGTTCTGGATCCGCCCATGCTCAATATAGCTTGGCCTGGTGAGCTCGGGTATTGTTCAAACGTGTATTAATTATAATTTTTCCATGGACGTTGACTTTTTATTTTTCATTTGGTTTGTAGTTTTCACGTTTAAAATACTATAATTGTTTCGGGTATTTTCTTTTTTATTGTTTGATGGTTTCTCATGAAATTAAATCTCATAATGTAACACGGTCATCATGACAAATAACTGGAGGAATATGAAATTTTGAAATACAGAACGAACTCGTTTTGGGGGCAACAACTCAAGAAATACTAAATTAATTGATTAAAATTTCAAACGCCTTGGCGATCAAGAGTTGTTAGCATTAACAAAAACTGGAAGTGCGTGTAAATATCACTCTATGGGAGCCGATTGAAAGGTCTGAAGCCATCGAAATTCAAAAGGGCGGCGCGCCCTGTGCATGCGGGTTTTTTATGTCGCGACAGTTGGGGTGTTTTTTTTCTCAAAATGAAACCATTTTTGTTTTTGTTTTTATGTGACGTCGCAATTAAGGCAGGCACTGAGTGCACCACCATCTTTTCCTCCTAAAACGTTGGTTAAAGTGGTCAGAAATGCCCTCAGATCGCACCAAAGAGCGTCTAGAATCCAAAAGTTTTTCGGGGCCCTTAAGGGGCCCCGAACCCCACGCCGTAATTTGTGGAATCACTTTTTGAGGGACCAAATTTTTTTCGCCCCCCCCCAAAAAAAATTGTGTTTTGGATCCGCTCTTGGGGAAACGCAGGTACATGTTTTCTACACATCTTGGTTTGTGCGTTTATGTCTTTGGTGGTTTGTGCCATTGATCTCAGACTGTGTACAGTACAAAGGTTTGAGCAGTCAATGAAACGTGTTTGGCGCCCTCAATATTGAGGGCGCCAAACACAGTTTAATTGCCAAACACGCAGCTGTCTTGGTCACTGTGTATACTAAGTTTGTTTACTTTTCTGCGTTTGTGATTATGGAATATGGGTCTTTGGTTGAGACCCTCCCACTCCAGTTTCATGCTCTTATTTCATTATCATATTTCTAATATTCATAGGACTGCAGACATGGTGTACAACCTCTGTCTCTCCGTTCCTTTGGAATATTGAGGAGTCTTTGGATGAACTCGCGTTTACTTCTGGCAATAGCTAGCAAACCTTCAAGTGGGCTTGATCATCTTCTGTTGTTGGATGAGCCATAGGCATAGCCAATGTCATCGCCGATCGCATCATTTCGGATGTCATGACGGTGGTGCAGGAGGGAAGTCAACCAAATTTCCAAAGGTAGGAAAAATCCCTTGATGTCAGTGTTTGCCTTACTGGAAAAAATGTTGCATCCTGACAACACTTCTGCGATTGTGTGTGTGTGTGTGTACAGGCATTACATTCACTGTGCGGACTTCCGAACGAACAAAAGAGGTCCACGTATTAAAACCAGGTAGAGGAGACGCTGTGTGGACTTGGGCAAGTCCACACAGTGTTTCCCCATTTCTGGAAAACAGGTTTAGAGGCATTTTGGGGTTAGGTTTATCTGTAGCATAGCAGAATGAAGAGAAACACTAAAGGGAATCATAGAAAAAAAAATTGGGTTGAAAGAGTTTTCACAGTTTGAGAAAAATGATTTTTTTCACTGGTTTTTCTTAACTACACGAAAGCAATGGAAAGTCCACACTTGGTATGTAACGTAGACTTGGGTGTGTGGGTGTGTGTGTATAAAGTCTATGGACACAAATGAGAGTCAAGAAAAAAATGCTGAGTTATTTTCCTAACACAATTGGGAATGTTAATTCTCAGTGCATGCAGTCCCAGATTTATGTTGTTAGTATCAGTATCATCATTTTGGCGATCATGTATAGTTTAGTATAGTGTAGGGCCCCTGTTTTGTTTTGATCAAATTCAATTTTTTTTTTATTTCTAAAAAACGATGTCAACCTAAAGCAGACTTCTCTCAATGTAATGACACCTTTTTGAATGTTGGTAATTTTTGAACACTAGTAATGCCTTCAAGAGAGAACTGTACAAAGACAGAATATGTCTCATTTTCCTATGATTACTGTTATTTTTTGCTCAAACAGCTGATAAAAATCAACCAGTCTAAGTAAGTTCTCTTGGTTGGAGAGTCATTTGGGTGGTAACGAAGCAGTGGACGAGGCAATCAATCGAGCACACCATTGAGACATGGATCAACCTCTACTGATTGACGGAGCTGTGGTGACTAAGATTGACACCATTGATGATAAAGTAAGTAGCAAGTTTGAGTCCTGTATGGGTTTGACCTTGGTTCGATTCCTCTTTTGTTCCAAGGTGTAGCCTTAGTTATCCTTGAATGAATTGAAAAGTTTTTGGTTCAGATCCTACTGCTTGTTTGGTTTGATTCCTTTTTATTTCAAGTTGTAATCTCAGTTATCCTAGTATGAATTGAGGAGTCCTTGGTTCATGCCTAGTCCGAAAATTGGGGACTCTACATGTATGGGGCATTCATCCAACATGAGACAGAATTGCGCACAGGCCGTGAGGCCAAAAGAAAAATAGTGGGTCTCTGGTCAGACCAAAGTTCTGGAATTGATGTAGTGATGCGTTTAAAAAAAAAATTCTTTGTCTGTACCATCCAAGCTTGGGGAAAAATAGCAAAGTGGTACTGCTTTGTTTGTTTGAGTTCTCATATGGTGTTACATCATTTGACTTGGTGCCCTATCATTTGCCTTGGTGCCCTTGTGCTCCGTAGTGCTAAATATTTGAGGCGGTGCAGCACTAAAGGGCACTGTTGTAGCTTCAGAAAATTTTAAAGAAAAAAAGAAATTTACTCAACAGATCAAAATTGACGCACAACAATTTTTTTATGGCTGATGAATGGACAATAATGCAAGTGGGGGATTTTTGTTTTCTTTTTATTTTCAGATTGAGTGATATTAATAGCTTTTGATAGTCACTCTAATCTCTGCCTATGCACCTACCCTGACGTCTACCCCAGAGTCTAAAGACGACTTCTATCTTCAGCTTAGTGAGTTGTCGCACAATATCCCGGCTGGTGATGGCATCATTCTCCTTGGGGACTTCAATGCCCGCATTGGTTCTGACTGCAGTGCGTGGAAGAATGTAATTGGCCCGCATGGTGTTGGGAGAATGAAAGACAATGGTCAACGTCTCCTCGAGCTCTACGCTTCGTACAACCTATGCATTGCCAACACCTTCTTCGCAGGCTCTGTTCGCTCCAAGGTCACCTGGAAACACCCTCGCTCACAGCACTGGCACCAACTGGACCACATCATTGTCAGACAGAGACAACTGCGCGATACCACCCACTGCTGCAGCTTGCATTCTGCTGATTGCAATACAGACCATGCCCTTGTTTGCTGTAAGCTTCATTTACTACCCAAGAAGTTCCATCGTGCAATGCATAGACCATTGCCTGCTATTGACACTGTCTCAACTCACGACATCAGTCATGTTACTCAGTTACAAGAGCTCCTTTCTGGTAATTTCAGCTTAGCACCAATCTCTGCCAACCCTGAAGGTGCTTGGTCTAGGTTCCGTTCAGTAGTCTACAACAGTGCTGTGTCTGCCTTTGGTCGCTGCTCACGAAAGCAACCTGACTGGTTCCGGGACAGCGCGGACATACTGCTCCCTGCACTAGAGAACAAACGGTCAGCCAGAAACAAATGCCGCTTGATCAACACACGCTCCTCAAAAGCTGCCCTTCGGGCTGCCAAGAGCACTGTCCAGCGTCTTACTCGAGCAGCTTTGCAACGCTACTGGTCTCACCTGAGTGATCGCATCCAACGTTGTGCCGACTCTGGTGACCTACGCGGCTTGTACCAAGGCATTAAGGAGGCAATTGGTCCTACCCCAAAGAAATCTGCTCCTTTACTGTCGTCCACTGGTGCCATCCTCACAGACCAAACAGCACAGCTTGACCGGTGGGTAGAGCACTATAGCTCACTTTACAACAGCGATGCTGCAGTCAGTACTTCTGCAATATCTGCCTTACCTCAGCTTCCCATCCTGAAAGAGCTGGACAATTCCATCACCTTGGATGAAGTGAAACATGCCATCAACGGCTTAAAGAACAACAAGGCTCCTGGCACTGATAGCATCCCTCCAGAGGTACTTAAGAAGGGTGGTAATATCTTGGCTGCAGAGCTCCACACTGTTCTCCTGACCTGCTGGCAATCCCAGTTTATACCACAGGATCTGAAAGATGCAAACATCATAACCCTCTACAAAAACAAAGGTAACTGACAAGACTGCAATAACTACAGAGGCATCTCACTGCTGTGCTTAGCTGGGAAGGTTTTTGCTCGAGTGCTGTTACCTCGGCTACAGGTCATTGCCAACAGAATCCTTCCCAAAAGCCAGTGTGGCTTTCGCCCATCCCGCTACACTGTTGACATGGTGTTTTCCTTGAGACAACTCCAGGAGAAGTGTGTTGAACAGCGGCGACCTCTGTACATGGTCTTCATCGACTTGACTAAGGCCTTTGATAACGTGAGTCGTTCAGGCCTGTTTTCCATCCTAAAGCGCTTGGGCTGCCCAGATAGGCTTTGTCTATTCTGATGTGTTTTCATGATGACATGCACGCCACAGTCCAGTTCAATGGCTCAAGATCTGCTAAGTTTGAAGTTCATCGGGGCGTCAAGCAGGGGTGTGTACTTGCTCCTACCCTGTTTGGGATCTTTTTCTCAGCCCTGCTACACCGTGCATTTCCCGAACCATCTGGTATCCTACTCCACACACGCAGCTCCGGGAATTTCTTCGACCTGTCCCGTCTCCGTGCCAGGACGAAGATTCGGCATGTTCTCATCCGGGAACTCCTGTATGCTGACGATGCTGCCATTGTTGCCCACTCAGCAGATGAGCTTCAACATCTCTGCAACTCATTTGCTAGTGCTTGCTCGGAGTTTGGCATGATCATCAGCCTTGGCAAGACAATGGTGTTATCGCAAGGCCCAGGTCCCCCTCCCATGATCACCATCAATGGCACACCTCTGAAAGTGGTCAACAAATTTCAGTATCTGGGTTCTACAGTTACCAGCACCAACTCCCTGGATACCGAACTTGACTCCCGAATAGGTAGGGCTGCAACCACCTTTGGCCGACTCCCTGCTCGTGTTTGGGACAACCGGGCCCTTTCCATCAAGCTTAAGATTCGCATCTACGTATCCTGTGTGCTTAGTGTGCTACTCTACTGCAGTGAGTCATGGCCGACCTACCGCCGTCAGGAACGTCGACTGAACGCGTTCCATTTCCGCTGCCTACGTTCAATTCTTGGAATCTCCTGGCAAGACCGAGTCTCAAACCCTGCCATTCTTGAGCTCACAGGAGTCAATGACATGCTCACATTGCTGTCAGCTCGCCGCCTTCTTTGGTCTGGTCATGTCTGCAGACAAGAGGACGGTCGACTGCCGGAGGACATCTTCTTTGGGGAGCTGGCTCATGCTCCTCGCCCCCGTGGTCGTTCAAAACTCCGTTACAAGGATGTTCTAAAGCGTGATCTGCGAACCTTCCAAATTCCAGTCACCTCCTGGCAGACCGTGGTGCAGGACCGCACTCGTTGGCGATCCGCTGTCCATCTTGGCCGCTCTGCTTCCTCTGCCGCCTATATTGCTGATTGCGAGAATCATCGTGCAACTAGACACCGAGCTACATCGTCGTATTCGACGGGATAGGCCACTACATGTACCTGATAGTCACTACTTATGTTTTAAGGAAATTGTATAAAAAATATGGAGTAAGGTCTAAGGCATGTTTAAAGTAAAAATATTGGGCTTGTTTCATTGTTTTTGTCATTTAATGCTGCGGCCGGGTGAGGTGGGGTAGGGGGCGCTATTCAGGACTTTCTTCTGTCACCTTGCAAGATGTAATGATGCCAAGTCACTATAAATTTATATTTCCCGGATTCGTTTGTATCAAAGATATATAACCAGGCATCCTATTCTATCTACAAGGATGGGACTAATAAGGGAGCAAAGACACTTCTTTTTCAGTGAAACAATAATTTATTCTTAAAATCTCCAAGAGTTCTCTGACCCAATTTGACATCTGTATACTGTAGGACTTAGCTATCATTGCTTGTTCATCTGTCATCCGCTATGAATAACTGGTTAACCTGTTTTTTTTTTAACCTTGTTCCACTCGAATTTGCAGGATAGCTAATAATGAATACAAGTAAATGTCTCAATCAGTATCAAACATTTTTTACCAAATTGACAATATTCAAATTTCTTGACCAGGTGATGGCAGATCTACCAGCTCACTTCACATCAGAGAGCTCTCTTGAGAAGCACTATAGAAGCACTATAAGGCCCAGGAGAAGGACTGCTTCTCACGGCTAGAACAGACTCAGACCAGAGCTCCCTTGAGAAGCACTGTACGGCTTAGGAGAAGGACCGCACCAAGTACATCACTACCTTGCTGATGCTTCACAGGGATGGAACAGACTCGAAGTAGGCTACTGCAAAGTAAGACTTTTTCATATTTGAAGAGAAAATGCTCTAACTGTACTTTAAAACTGTTGAGTTACGAACAGCAAAAGATCTATCTTGCCGATTTTTATGCTCAGCACAATAAAACTAAGAAAGAACAAAAGTGGAAAATCTGTCAAAAGCAGGATTCATCACACTGCATGTTTTTTTGGACTTTGTGATCGGGTACAACCTGATAACCTTTTTGAAATGGTAATAATTATTCTTTGGGTTTTTTTTCTGGACAATAATTCTTTACGGGTTTTCTCCTAAACCTACGTGAACTCGCTCGACCTTTACTTCTGGGTCTACTGGAAGGTCAAAGTTGGGTGAATTTTATATTACAGACAGAAAAGCCTCAAAATAAAAACGAACCACATCTTTTCCAAACAGTTCACGTGATGACGATAAAACCTACATGGAATTTGAACCCTGGTCTGAAGATGTACAAGAAATTGTGATGTCATCATGACATCACCTCAGGTATCAAATTACAAGCGGGTTAACATGAAAATTTGAGAGCTTACTTTTAATTAGGCTATAACGGAACAGAGTAGTATTCTCATTTTTTAGTTGTTTCAGACATTGCTACTGGCAATATTTTGTTCCAGCATGTCCAGGGCGCATACCATTTGACCTTTACTTCCAGTGTAACCGGAAGTGCAATGATAATAAATTTAACTTGAAGATGGAAGCATTTTGCTACAGTTATATAAATTATGCAAATATTTAGTGAGGAATGTCCAACACAAACATTGGCATGATGACATAATTACACGAAAGGGCACGTACCAGTACATTCACGCAATGCGTCTCTCCAACTAGGGCTCTCAAAAGTTGTCAAAAAGGGACAATCTTCTGTTTGGGCACGTAATCTTTATAATCTTTACCTAGGGCATGTAGGGCCTAGTACTTTTCAATCATATTCTCAAAGGTGGCTTAAGTTCAAAACGTACAATGCACTCAAATTTGATCAAATTGTCTACTCAGATTATTTATTTATTTATTTATTTCAACCGGATCCAACAGCGGCCAAATCGCCAATTACAGTAGCACCAAAAATAAATGCAAACCAATAGTATCACCAGAGTTACCCTTTACATCTTGCGCTTAACTTTCCAGGTTGTTAACTTGTTGAATGCCTTGTACACGCTGTTCAACGCCTTCATTTCCAACTATGACGTCTAAAAGGTAAATATTTCATATGACCCAGCAGATTGTTTTAACCAGTTTGCGCTGGACTATTTTGACATTGACCAGACCAAGACTTGGGATTGTTTTCATGAATCTGGATGCCAGACGGCTTCAGGCTGTCATCTACGGGTATCTCGCTGCAAGCGGGCCACTGACAGACATTTCGGGCCTCGCTTGTTGCGTGTTTATCCATCATCCATTCCGATTACCGCAAAACCTTGCGTGTATTCACGTTGTCTGATGTGAACTTGTTAAGCCAAACGTGCCATATCACAGGAAGTTATTTTAAAGGGTACTTGCAATAGATTATACTTAATACACTTATCCAAGTTCATTTATTATGGTTAATATGCAAACATGAAATGATCAACAATACATTGACAGAAAGCACTTTACCCGTTACTGCTTGGCTTGATTCTACCATCTTAGATCTGTTTTACTTTCAGAGTACTTTACAAGCTATGCTTATAATTTGTAGTCTTGCATATTGACTGCTTCAAGTGGCATTATAAAACAGGTCTAGGAGGCTAGTTTGATTATGCTACTCAAAGTAGTCAGTATTAAAATGGAAGGTGCCATAGTCCTTTTAGCCATGTACATGTAGACGGAAAATAGCAAATACTATGTGATGCACACTCTCGGCCACTGAAAAACACAGAATCTGTGGGTGCGGTGATATAATTACAAAAAGTCACTTGCATTATCATTGTCAACATTACTCGGCTGTTCGCAGGCGTAGTCATGACAATCACTCAGAGGTTAAGTTGATGCTACCATGGTTACTAGTTCAGGCAAAAACCATGCAAATATGTATGTTCTATTATAATGTCTGAATGCAAAATTAACCAGTGTTGAATAATAACATCTTGCCAAGGTTGAAAGTATCGATGATGCCTACATGTTGGTCTCCTGCCTACTGATCCGTAATGGCAGCCGTCATGCTGGTATGATCGCCTCCACTGCATGGCATCTCCTGGAGGGCGTTGATAGTTGATCATGCCACACAAACTGACAAGATGAGAAACTCAAACTCCTCATCGGTATTCACTCAGGTAAGATCATTGTCTTTGCTTGTGGCCGAGATACTTAAGATTGATAAATCACAAATACATCACAAGTCCAGTCACAAGTACATCACAAGTCCAGTCACAAGTACATCACAAATCTAGTCACAAGTACATCACAAGTCCAGTCACAAGTACATCATAAGTCTAGTCACAAGTGCATCATAAGCCCAGTCACAAGTACATTATTATTATTATTATTATTATTATTATTATTATTATTAGCAACCAAAGCATCTAAAATGGTTGGATTAAAAACATTTTGAAAGATATTTAAATTACATTTGAGTTTGAAATATTAATATTAATATTAAGATTGATAAATCACAAATACATCACAAGTCCAGTCACAAGTACATCACAAGTCCCGTCACAAGTACATCACAAGTCCAGTCACAAGTACATCACAAGTCTAGTCACAAGTACATTACAAGTCTAGTCACAAGTACTTCACAAGTCCAGCCACAAGTACATTACAAGTCTAGTCACAAGGATATCACAAGTCCAGTCACAAGTACATTACAAGTCTAGTCACAAGGATATCACAAGTCCAGCCACAAGTACATTACAAGTCCAGTCACAGGAACATCACCAGTCCAGTCACAAGTACATCACAAGTCCAGCCACAAGTACATTACAAGTCTAGTCACAAGTACATCACAAGTCCAGCCACAAGTACATTACAAGTCCAGTCACAAGTACATTACAAGTCTAGTCACAAGTACATTACAAGTCTAGTCACAAGTACATCACAAGTCCAGTCACAAGTACTTCACAAGTCCAGCCACAAGTACATTACAAGTCCAGTCACAAGTACATTACAAGTCTAGTCACAAGTACATTACAAGTCCAGCCACAAGTACATTACAAGTCCAGTCACAAGTACATTACAAGTCTAGTCACAAGTACATTACAAGTCTAGTCACAAGTACATTACAAGTCCAGCCACAAGTACATTACAAGTCTAGTCACAAGTACTTCACAAGTCCAGCCACAAGTACATTACAAGTCTAGTCACAAGTACTTCACAAGTCCAGCCACAAGTACATTACAAGTCCAGCCACAAGTACATTACAAGTCTAGTCACAAGGATATCACAAGTCCAGCCACAAGTACATTACAAGTCTAGTCACAAGGATATCACAAGTCCAGCCACAAATACATTACAAGTCCAGTCACAGGAACATCACCAGTCCAGTCACAAGTACATTACAAGTCTAGTCACAAGTACATTACAAGTCTAGTCACAAGTACATCACAAGTCCAGCCACAAGTACATTACAAGTCTAGTCACAAGTACATCACAAGTCTAGTCACAAGTACATCACAAGTCCAGCCACAAGTACATTACAAGTCTAGTCACAAGTACATTACAAGTCTAGTCACAAGTACATCACAAGTCCAGCCACAAGTACATTACAAGTCTAGTCACAAGTACATCACAAGTCCAGTCACAAGTACATCACAAGTCCAGCCACAGGAACATCACAAGTCCAGTGACAAGTACATCACAAGTCTAGTCACAAGAACATCACAAGTTTAGTCACAGGTACATCACAAAACCAGCCACAAGTACATTACAAGTCTAGTCACAAGTGCATCATAAGCCCAGTCACAAGTACATTACAAGTCTAGTCACAAGTACATCATTAGTCTAGTCACAAGCACATTACAATTTCAGTCACAAGTACATTACAAGTCTAGTCACATGACATCACAAGTCCAGTCACAAGTTCATTCACAAGTACATCACAAGTACAAACAAGTCCAGGCAAAAGTACATCACAAGTCCAGTCACAAGTACATCATAAGTCCAGTAACAAGTACATCATAAGTCCAGTTACAAGTACATCACAAATCTAGTCACACATGCATCATAAGCCCAGTCACAAGTACATCGCAAGTCTAGTCACAAGTTTAGTCACAAGTACATCACAAGTCCAGCCACAAGTACATTACAAGCCTAGTCACAAGTACTTCACAAGTCCAGCCACAAGTACATTACAAGTCTAGTCGCAAGGATATCACAAGTCCAGCCACAAGTACATTACAAGTCTAGTCACAAGTACATCACAAGTCCAGCCACAAGTACATTACAAGTCTAGTCACAAGTACATCACAAGTCCAGTCACAAGTACATCACAAGTCCAGCCACAAGTACATTACAAGTCTAGTCACAAGTACATTACAAGTCTAGCCACAAGTGCATCATTAGCCCAGTCACAAGTACATTACAAGTCTAGTCACAAGTACATCATTAGTCTAGTCACAAGCACATTACAATTTCAGTCACAAGTACATTACAAGTCTGGTCACACGTACATCACAAGTCCAGTCACAAGTTCATTCACAAGTACATCACAAGTACATAACAAGTCCAGGCAAAAGTACATCACAAGTCCAGTCACAAGTACATCATAAGTCCAGTAACAAGTACATCATAAGTCCATTTACAAGTACATCACAAGTCTAGTCACACATGCATCATAAGCCCAGTCACAAGTACATCACAAGTCTAGTCACAAGTTTAGTCACAAGTACATCACCAGTCCAGCCACAAGTACATTACAAGTCTAGTCACAAGTACCTCACAAGTCCAGCCACAAGTACATTACAAGTCTAGTCGCAAGGATATCACAAGTCCAGCCACAAGTACATTACAAGTCTAGTCACAAGTACATCACAAGTCCAGCCACAAGTACATTACAAGTCCAGTCACAAGTACATCACAAGTCCAGTCACAAGTACATCACAAGTCCAGCCACAAGTACATTACAAGTCTAGTCACAAGTACTTCACAAGTCCAGCCACAAGTACATTACAAGTCTAGTCACAAGTACATCACAAGTCCAGCCACAAGTACATTACAAGTCCAGCCACAAGTACATCACGTCTAGTCACAAGGACATCACAAGTCCAGCCACAAGTACATTACAAGTCCAGCCACAAGTACATTACAAGTCCAGTCACAAGTACATCACAAGTCCAGCCACAAGTACATTACAAGTCCAGCCACAAGTACATTACAAGTCCAGCCACAAGTACATTACAAGTCTAGTCACAAGTACATCACAAGTCCAGTCACAAGTACATCACAAGTCCAGCCACAAGTACATTACAAGTCTAGTCACAAGTACATCACAAGTCTAGTCACAAGTACATCACAAGTCCAGCCACAAATACATTACAAGTCTAGTCACAAGTACATCACAAGTCCAGCCACAAGTACATTACAAGTCCAGTCACAAGTACATTACAAGTCTAGTCACAAGTACATTACAAGTCCAGCCACAAGTACATTACAAGTCCAGTCACAAGGACATCACAAGTCTAGTCACAAGTACATCACAAGTCCAGCCACAAGTACATTACAAGTCTAGTCACAAGTACTTCACAAGTCCAGCCACAAGTACATTACAAGTCTAGTCACAAGGATATCACAAGTCCAGTCACAAGTACATTACAAGTCTAGTCACAAGGATATCACAAGTCCAGCCACAAGTACATTACAAGTCCAGTCACAGGAACATCACCAGTCCAGTCACAAGTACATCACAAGTCTAGTCACAAGTACATCACAAGTCCAGCCACAAGTACATTACAAGTCTAGTCACAAGTACATCACAAGTCCAGTCACAAGTACATCACAAGTCTAGTCACAAGTACATCACAAGTCCAGCCACAAGTACATTACAAGTCCAGTCACAAGTACATTACAAGTCTAGTCACAAGTACATTACAAGTCCAGCCACAAGTACATTACAAGTCCAGTCACAAGTACTTCACAAGTCCAGCCACAAGTACATTACAAGTCTAGTCACAAGGATATCACAAGTCCAGCCACAAGTACATTACAAGTCTAGTCACAAGGATATCACAAGTCCAGCCACAAGTACATTACAAGTCCAGTCACAGGAACATCACCAGTCCAGTCACAAGTACATCACAAGTCTAGTCACAAGTACATCACAAGTCCAGCCACAAGTACATTACAAGTCTAGTCAAAAGTACATTACAAGTCTAGTCACAAGTACATCACAAGTCCAGCCACAAGTACATTACAAGTCTAGTCACAAGTACATCACAAGTCCAGCCACAAGTACATTACAAGTCTAGTCACAAGTACATCACAAGTCCAGTCACAGGAACATCACAAGTCCAGTGACAAGTACATCACAAGTCTAGTCACAAGAACATCACAAGTTTAGTCACAGGTACATCACAATACCAGCCACAAGTACATTACAAGTCTAGTCACAAGTGCATCATAAGCCCAGTCACAAGTACATTACAAGTCTAGTCACAAGTACATCATTAGTCTAGTCACAAGCACATTACAATTTCAGTCACAAGTACATTACAAGTCTAGTCACACGTACATCACAAGTCCAGTCACAAGTTCATTCACAAGTACATCACAAGTACAAACAAGTCCAGGCAAAAGTACATCACAAGTCTAGTCACAAGTACACCACAAGTCCAGTCACAAGTACATCACAAGCCCAGCCACAAGTACATTACAAGTCTAGTCACAAGGATATCACAAGTCCAGCCACAAGTACATTACAAGTCCAGTCACAGGAACATCACCAGTCCAGTCACAAGTACATCACAAGTCTAGTCACAAGTACATCACAAGTCCAGCCACAAGTACATTACAAGTCTAGTCACAAGTACATCACAAGTCCAGTCACAAGTACATCACAAGTCTAGTCACAAGTACATCACAAGTCCAGCCACAAGTACATTACAAGTCCAGTCACAAGTACATTACAAGTCTAGTCACAAGTACATTACAAGTCCAGCCACAAGTACATTACAAGTCCAGTCACAAGTACTTCACAAGTCCAGCCACAAGTACATTACAAGTCTAGTCACAAGGATATCACAAGTCCAGCCACAAGTACATTACAAGTCTAGTCACAAGGATATCACAAGTCCAGCCACAAGTACATTACAAGTCCAGTCACAGGAACATCACCAGTCCA